CTATCTTGTGGCTGGAAGCCATCAGTGATGTGTCAAAGTGATTTCGTAGTGCCCTTAGACCTCTTAGGGCAAGCAGTTTCATTTTGAAGATTGTACCTGTGCAGGACTAAACTTTCCACCTGGACTAACTTTTGGAGGGGCTTTGATAGCCTCTGGTATGTGTTCTTACAAGCCATTTCTCTCAGAGTTTGTGTTTGTAGGATCAGACAGAACCAAACTCTTACCTGATCAGACACAAGGCAGGTCTAGCTGAGAACAAATACAGCCACTTTTGCAATCGACTATATGTACTCTGTTTATGCAGATTCTCCTAGCTAAAGATATGTCTGGGAATTGTTCTAAAGTTTATATCATCTTACCATTCTATTGCTGTAATATTTCCTCTTCTGAGGTCTTTGGGGTTTTTTTTCCTTCCTTCTCTTTTAGGCTTTCTTCTTTCTCTATTCCTATGTCAAATTTACTAGTCCATATCTACATAGCTCTGTGTACAATATTAGATCACCTCAGAGAAGATGGCACTTTTATGCTAGGACTTTGTAAAGCTTGTTTCTTCTGCACCAATCTGTGATTAAAGGTTGTCAATAGCTGCTATCTTGTGGAATGTTTAATACTTGAAGAGTCAATGTTCAGCCATATATTTATAATAGAGATTATTTTGGTGTTATGAAAAATGCTACAGAAAAGCCTGTGAGGGAAATAAAACTTCTATTTTAAGACCATGTTCAAGCATCGTGGATTAAAAAAAAGACATAAGGCCTTGCATCGCACAACGAAAAAGAAAATAAAATGTTAAATAGCTGCTAGTTAGCTAAGTAAGGTATGCAGTCTGTACCTAGCATGAGGCAATTTTTGTATGAGGTATTTTGGAAAAAAGAGTAATATGTCACTGTGTAATAAAAGGTTTCGTCATCTGTCGTATACACTGTAAATCTGAATTAACTTTGCCAAGCAAGTGCTGGCCTCTCTTAACTTTTTAATCTTTAGTACAGATAGGGAGGACTTTATTCATTTGGTTAGCTAGGGAAAAGCTGGGAGGAGCATGTTGTATTAGAGTGCAGGAGTATGGAGGAAATTCCATTTGGATGAATTACATGCGTGGTGAATTCAATTAGCCTTCTATTTAACTGAGTATATCCATTTTTGCATTTGCATGCACAGTATCAGAAGTGCAAAATTCCATCTGTTAATTATCTGCATAAAGACATTCTTTAAATACGTGACTTTTGTAAATACCTCTCACTGCATAGACTCGGACAGGAGGAAGACGTTTAAGGGACTGTAAAAGCCACAGTTGGTTATCTTGAAACAACATGGATTTCTGCTACGATTACATCTTTACATAACCCTCTTTAATCTAGATGGAGAAAACCTAATACATCTGCATTTATGGCACAGTAAGAAGGGGATGTCCTTTCTGTTAAGGCTCCAAACATACTAAGGGTTTAAACTGTTCGCTTAATGAGCTGTAATTGCAAAAAATAAACAAAAAGAAAAGCTAAGTTCCAAGTTTAGAACCAAAACGCTGTTTTTTAAATCTTCTTTTGCTCATTTTTGTACAGGACTGTGGGGTTGTATCCTGATGCTTCCAGATTTGGAATTTTCTTTGCTGTTGTCTTAGCGTCTCATATAATTGGTGAACTGCTAACACTCGTTATACTTGGCGTGGTTCAAAACCCAAATATAGTCCAAAGCGGAGTGGTGCTACTTAATTCCGCAGGTGTGATAGTGGGAACAGGACTAGTAAGGTAGGAAAAAGTTTTATTTCCTAATGGTGTTAATGTTAAAATAATCTACCTACAGAAGAGTTTCATGAACAGTCTGTGTTGCAGAAACACAAGTAATACACAGGGGCAATGGAAAGAGAGTGTGGCTGAGATACCCTTCAGAGGTGGAACTACCTAATCATGTTAGACCTTGTACTGAACACATTGCTTCAGATATCAACAAAATTTTTTTTTTTTGCAAATAAATTGAAGATAAAGCTGAGCAATTAATTTCTGTCAGTTCAGCTGAATTCTTTTAATTGTGCCAATATTATGACATGAAAGGCTGTGCTCATTAAAGGAGCCGATCAAAAAAAGTTCTGACAACTTCTAGTAACTGCTGGAATTTATCAGACATTAAGCACTGGGAATGATGGCTTAAAAAAATAAGTTGTTCTCAGCTATCTTATTAGTGTTATTCTCCAGTTTAGCTATTAAACTTTTCAGACACTTTTTATACCTGTGCAGAATGAATACATAAAAATAATCAAGCAGTGTAGTAAGTACATGGGAAAGTTATGATTCACTTGCTCTATTACTGTGCAAATAAATGTTTTTGAACCGTAATTCTATGAACTTCGAGCATTTTCTCCTTGTATTTGTCAATACTGAAATTACTGGTTTTCTAAGAAACATACCAGAATAAATGTATTATTGTCAAAAGTTTTCCTGAGATGTTGAGCAAATAGGATATGCTCACCTGAGATCTTTCCAGTGGCGATTAAGTAAACTTAACAATAGATGATGTCGTCTTCAAAAAAAGCATAAGTATTCACAAAGCTGATGATGCTTTATCTCTTTGAAGTTGATCTCAGCTAATACTTTCTTATCAAATAAAACTAGATTAATATCTAATTATTTGGTCCCTGCCTGATTTCAGGAAGATGTATGTTTATAGTGATAAGACAGCTATTCCTTCTACCATAGTCTAATGCCTTAATGATAACTTTTACAAAGTATTAGAGTGGTTTCCAACCTTATTTTACAGTGGAGACATTGCTAATTAATATTCTGAATCTCTTTGATTAAACTCCATAGGCAGTGAAGGATATTAAAAATAGCATTGAGATTTGGGTTGGTGCTTTTTTCTCATCATTTGTTTAATTATAAAGTCTTGCAGCATTTTAGGTTCAGAAATTACCCAGTCTTGTTGAATAATGTTATTTCAAAATTTGCATACTTTGTTTTTCTTCTCATTTTTGCTTGATTTTTGTTTTGTTACTATTGTTCCAGTGAATTCAGTCTTTTATTCAGTCTTTTTTGGTTTTGAAGATGGAGTTAGGGGGTGGTGGTTTCTTACTTTGGAAGCAGCACAGTTTTGCAACTAAGGTTTATATTGGGTCTTGTCATTTTCAGTTTATCACTGCAATGTCAATAACAAACAACTTCATAGAATTATTTGTGACTGTCCATAAACAAGTCAGGGCTGAACGTTATGACACTGTACGAAAGTCAGAGACAGCTTTCATGGTTGTCTCTTCATTTAGCACTAAGACAGACTTTATGTTTGAAAATCCTAGAGGTATAGCCAAGAACTGTTTCTGTAGCAGGCTACGACCAAAACTTGTTTTAATTTGGAGCAGAATTATCTCTTGGAGTGTAGCAAAACCCAGTTTAACTTCTCTGTTTCTTTAAGGACCATCGAAGAAATGCCAACAGTTTTTAAAATACTCAGTTATCTTACCTTTCAAAAATACAGCAGTGAAGTTCTTATAGTCAACGAATTTTATGGCTTAAACTTCACATGTGGTAAGTGTTCAAAAAAAAGAAAAAAAAAGCAGCCTTAAGTCCATTGTAAACAATTTTTAATGAGATGTCCATGCTTATTTTCCTTCTACATACAATAAAAGTATCCTGATAAAGATAACTGGTGAGTTGTTAAAAAAAGCTTAGTAATTGGTAAAGACTATATCAGCAAGCTAGACAAAATTTTGACTCTTTTTTTCTGACCATTTCTCATTCTTTCAGTTTTTCATCTTTCTCTTCCTCACCTGTTCTTTTATGCCCCCTGTGGGGGCATTTTGGAAGGTAGACTTTGCAGCCTGTTAGGAGCTTATCAGAGCAGTGTTACACAAATATGAGATCAATAGAATTGCACAATGTAAGATCAAACATCAGTGCAGGGAGCACTGCCAGGTAACACCTGACCAGATGTTTCCTCTAACGCTAGCGAGGCATCAGTTCAGATACGTTACCAGGGCACATACTGAGCAGCTGGGATCTGTCAGGCTGCATGTTGCCGGTTGTGAGCGTGATGACTGGCAAAAAATCAGAATGGATCAGGTAGGCAGGGTCAGTAGCTAACATCCATCAGTGGGGGTAAAACTTATAGCTTTGGACCTACCCTAAGATACTGTGGGCTTTACAGCCTGGTGTCTGTGCTCCTCTCCAAGGCTAGATGTTCCTTATCCATTAATCTCTCCAGTCCCTCTTCAGTACAAGAGCATAGATGGCAACTATTAGAAAATGAATCCATGACCTCAGTAGTAATAATAAGCATGTGCCCTTCAGACAGGCTCCCTTTCTCAAATTTTGGAAGCACTCAACAAATCTGAACACTGTAAGTCTGCCGCATTGGGCAACTTGCTTCTTGACGCCCCTCCAGATAATGTGTCTCAAAAGCCATAAATAATCTTTTGTTTGCCATGAACAAAACAGAACGCTCCTAGTGAACCTTCAAAAAAATATGTTATAGATTAACTGCAGAAACATGTGGCTTGTCTGTTCTTATTCCAAAATTACGGGAAATACTGCCGTGGGTATAGTTCATCATTAAAATAATGTCAGGGCTATGTATATTAAATGCATGAGCTAGATACTGAAGCCTGAGTTTTCATTTTACTTATTCACCTACTAAAGAAATTATCTTTTCTTTTGACAGGTGGAGCCAACAGTTCCACTACAATTAATGCTGCGTGTATTTTCTCTCATGGCATTCAGTTCATTGAAAAAAACTTCCCCGGTGCAGTGTCCCGGTTCACAATTGATTTCCTAATACTCTATGCTTTTCTACCAGGACTTGCCATTATAGCAATTCTGAGCTTCAAAATAAGAGAGAGAATTACTGGCAGGCAATAAAAAAGTAGCCGTTCTAACTACACTTTGAACTTTATTATGTTAAAGGCTTAAATTGTTGGATTTTGCACAGAATTTAAGTGTTTTATATATATATATATATATA